CACCCACCCACGCACACACACAAAAAAACCCAAAACCAAACAAGAAAAATCAAAATTGATCCTTCCCTCTAAATTATTGAATTTGTTTCCTGTTACCCGCCTGAACTATTCACCCACCCACGCACACACACAAAAAAACCCAAAACCAAACAAGAACTATCAAAATTGATCCTTCCCTCTAAATTATTGAATTTGTTTCCTGTTACCCGCCTGAACTATTATTCTCCTCTCTAAATCCATTTAAAACATTTACAAAGTAATAAATGAAATATTGAAACTAGGTATAGTTCGGGGGTGAGGACAATTTTAATAATTTAGGGGGCGAAGTGAGACGGAAAATAGTTCAGAAGCAGGAGACCAATTCATACGTTGGGACTAATAATAGTCCAGGGGACAAAAAGGTACAACTGGTCTAGAGAATAGCGCAGGTAGAGCATGGAGCCTACAATTAAAGAAGTTCAGGGCGTACGTTACGACTCAAATCTAATGATCCATCTCAATTACATTCTTGAACCTTCGTGATCAAGAACTAACACTCATTAAAAAAATCAAAAAAAATCCAAATAAATTAAATTCCGGGGTTTCCATGAAAAGAAACAGAAAAAAGTCACCTTTGGGGACGTAGACATTGCGCTTTAGGTAGTAGATGTAGAAGCACCATAGAAATCCTGAGACGAAGTAGAGGAGGGTCCCACCGATGTAGTTCCTGAGCCAGGCCCTAATGGGCCGGGGGAGAGGCTGCCAGGCCCAGTCCGGTAGCAGGGCGGTGAGCACAATGTCGTTGTACCAGTCGGTCTCCTCGACGAAATTGTGGAGGTAATCGGCGCGCTCCATCGCGGTGAGCTCCCCGGGCGGCGACGGGATCGCCGAATGATTTTGGGGAAGGGAAGGAGGACGAGAGAGTGCGGAGTTGGCGAGGCTGTCGAGGGTTTTCATAGGTGTGGGAAAATTATTTCGCTGCCCCGTTTGTTGAGTTTTATTTGCTTTTATGCCCCCAAAGTATGCTAACTATTGTTACAATGACCTACTTCTCTCGTGCACGTGATACGTGGATTATATAAATTAGTGCATAAAAAATATTTTTAGCATCTTAATAAACAACACTAATATGAAAATATTTTAAAAAAATCATTGTCTAGAGTGATATAATTTTTTGAGAATATATGTTGAATTTTTTGAAATCTTGACACACATAAGGATGGAACCAAAAATATAGTTTTTTCTCAAATAATAGTAATAAATAATAATAGTGTTTCATACAACCTACTTGTGAGTTAGGTGGTTTGGCTATATCATTGTGATCGTGGAGAATTTGCTTTTGGGACATGTGTTCACGTGATATTGTTTGAGATTAAGGTTGTGGCTCAATAAATGAGATTCTAACCGGGCATTTCATTTACATATTTTCAAAATTAGCTACAACAATATCAAAACTTCCAACACGATGGGAAGTGTTCTAATATGTAGATATATAAGACAAGTGGGAAGCAGTTTCACAGTTTGGACATTTCACTACTCCTCATATCAGCCTCATGTGGTGGAGTGTTCTAATAAGATTTTCACGCGGCTACAGCAGCCTGAATGTATACACCTTTAACAACAAAATCGTTAATGACATGCTAATGTGTGCTATCGAAGTGCCAAACATTTAGACTTTCAACTATGATGGGAATGTATATATTGATCATTACAATTGTTGTCATCTAGATGTGTTCCATATTAACAACACATGCGTCAAGGAGTGTGGATCGAAATGGCACGCTAATCTCAGTTTACTTTTGAATAAATTAAACTCATATTTCGATGTTTCCTTTGTCTAATTCTAGTTAAGAATTTTTAATATGGAATAAACTTAAAACTCAGGGGCTTTAATTCTAGTTAAGAATTTTTAATATGGAATAAACTTAAAACTCAGGGGGTTTGAGATAAATAACTTTCGGAATTATGACATGCTTTTTTCTTTGATTACACTGATATTCTTTATTTTTATTGGTAAATTACTAAATTTCAAAATTATGACATATCATTTTTTTTCTATGATTATATTGGGATCTTTATTTTTATTGGCAGTTTAGGGTTTTATCAGTGAGTAATGTTACTCGTGTTAAATTTGTGGCATTACAATTTTTTTCTACTATAATTTTTGTATTATTAGAGAATAAACAAGATGTACTCATCAATGATTTTCGAATCAAAGTAAAAAAGATGTCACATATATTGCTATTTTCTTAAATGATAAGAGCCATACCATGACCATAATATATAACAAACATCTTTTTTTCAGAATAGAGGGTAATTACGATTTTATTATAATTAATATAAATTTATAATCTGCAATCCTTAACATAACTTCAGAGTTTTAGTGTAATGGTTATAGAGACTTAGTTTTAGATGGCATCAGAGCAGCCCAGGTTCAAATCATATCAACCACGAATTTAAAACAGTTTTTCTAAAATTTAAAAATTGACACTGCGGTTTGATTTCAAGTTTCGACACATAAAAAAGGGTGTTAAACCTGCAAGGGCATATTTGAATCGATATAAAACTATGATTCTCGATCCTCATCATAACTTCGGAGTTTCGACTAATGGTTTGATGAACTAGACTTAAGAGATTTTAAAAAGATTTTAAATAAGAACCTAGTCACCACTTTGCAATAGTACTCTTGGTAGTGCATATTTTTAGTGTATCTACTTAATTTAGAATATTATCATTGGTAGAATATAAAAGTATGCTTTTCAACATTCACCATAATTTTAGAGTTTGAGTGTAATGATTAAGTTATTTCACATAGTATCAGAGCAACCCAAGTTTAAATCTCATTGAGCACGGATTTAATACGGGTTTTATAAAAATTAATTCCGTGGACTGACTCAAATTGTTTAAGGCCCATAAAAAATAACGTTAACATGTGGAGACATGTTAAAATTATATTATGATTTCAGATAGTTTTTTTTGGAAAATGGAGAGAAATTTGAAATGGATCATCTTGTTTATTAATTAGAGATATATGCATATGCCTACCCTCAAGCCGCATTATTTATTTTAGTTAGAGTATCAGCCACGCGCCAACGCCGGGTTTAAATATGTGGGTGCATTTAGAATAGATCTCTTATTACAATGCATCCATAGTTTTTACACGTTGGATGACACGTGGCTGCCGAAGGGAGTGGTTGCTTTGGTCTCCGATTCGCTGTCTTTGTTTGATGCTTCTCGTCGTGGAGCTTGCATGAGGAAGCTCGTGGGAGTAAAGAAATGAAACGCGTTGCACGTGGCTTGCACGAGAGAATAGATTATGAATTCCTTTTTCATATTCTCGTTCATCTTCAGCGCTAGTAATGAGGTTAGGTGACATGGTGGAAAAGAATCATAGTGTAGGGGGGTTAAGTGAGACACTCCAAAGTTTCAGGGTTTAAGTGAAATAAATAACTTTTGGGTGATTTTGTGCAAAACGTCCCAAGTTCAAGGATTTAAGTGAAATTCACCCTGTTTATTTTTCCGTCTTCCTTACCATAAATTCCTCTTCAATCTTCTCCAACTAAAATAAAGGGCTTGAAATTCAATATAGAGGGTGTTTGGCGAGGCTTTTTTTTTTAATCAAATTAGCTTTTAAGTTAACCTTTTCATATGTTTGATAAAACACCAAATAAGTTAACTTATAAGCCTCATTTTTAAAAGATGTTATACCCTACCTATTGAGGGCCTACTTATGCGTTCAAGAAGCAACTGCTAATAGTGTTTGGTAAAAACTTTTTGGCATGCCTATTAAAACTACTTTTGCTTTTAATGGGTGCTTTTAGAAGCTACATGAGAATATTTTTAAAAATAGTTTTTCTACATTTTTTCGTTTATATACCATAGATATCGTTTATCTTTTAACAATAATCATTAAACATAGTTGTGCTAAATACCTTAACCGTTTTTAAAATAATTTTTAATATTTGATTATCAAGCATCTATTTTTCAGCAATTTATTTAAGCTACTTTTTACAATTAACTTGTTATAATCTCTAACATTATCAAACTGGTCCCAAGAAACTAGTTTATAAGCTCACACAAGTAAGCTTGACCAAAAAAAAAGTACCATTCTATTTAAGCACTTTTTGATAATATTTTTATCATAAAACTTAAAACCTTAAAATTAACTTAACTTATAAGTCTAAAAAAATAAGAGGTCCCAAACACTCTCATATTAAGCGTCTCCATGACTAATGTGTATAATAACTAGCAAAGGTACAAACTGACGAAACAAAGAGTGCGTGGTAATGATGAGAGCATGAACAAAAGTTGATATTGTATAGATGATTTTGAAATGACTGAGAGAAGCCCGCCCCTTCCCTCTTCCCTCAACCCATGGCCATTTGCAATGCTGTGCGATTTTGGCATTTTAATTTTCCTGGAGCTATAAAGCTAAGCTTGCACGTGGTTTTAAGTCCATGTCCGCATATGTACTAAATACATGTATTTAATTAAATATGGTTACAGATATGTAGATATATTGAAATATTGGGTTCCGTATCTCAGATATATGAATATATGTTGACCATTCAGTTGTTTTAATCCTTAGATTAATGAGTTTATGGTTAATTTTGATGATCAAGAAATCTAATATTATATTTTTAGGCTCTTTTGTATGATATGGACTATTCTTTTCAACATTATCTAGTTTTCTCATATCATTTTTCGTATTTACGTGTATATCTGCATGATTGCATTTATATTCATATTTATTTCGATTTGTAGCTGATATGGGTATGAGTTTTATTTAGCGAATGCTGATATGATAAATACAATAAATGAGTTGTATCCAATCCGTTTGCATCCCCAGTTGGAATCTGTAAGAAATTTTTAATTTTGGTTTCCTATTCTATGTTTGGTTTGTACTTAGGGTTGGAATGAAAATTTGCTAAAACATCGACAAACATCAGCTGGAATAGCAAAAGCCAAATCCGATCGATTGGAGCTGAAATGGGTGGATTCGACGAAAAAAATAATTAAAAATAAACACGCCTTTATTTTTTCAGCTGGAATTTTATGGAAACCTAATCCTTACCGCCCTTCACCTAACCCCTTCCCTCCTCACACGCCTCCATTCTTCTCCTCGAGATCTCTTCTGTGGAAAAAACTCAATCATGGAGGCGCTATCTTCCGAGTGATCTTTTGAGGGAAATTATGGCTTTTTCCTAAAATTATTTAGGGATTCGATCTAGAGCGCTCTATTACATCTTCTTTCTTGCTAAAATTTGGGGCTTTTCTCCACAATGTGGGTTTTTTTTTATCAAAGCTCTATCTTTGTATTCTGATCTCTTCAAAATCGTCTAAATTTTTTTAGGAAAGTCTCAAGATCACTATGAAATTTAATTCTCTATTACTTCTTATCTCTCCACACTGATCTTTTAGGGGAATTCATTTTTTTCAAGAAATTGGTTAGGGATTCATTAAAGGGCTTGATTCTCTCCATTACCTCTTATCTCTTGCTTAAAATATTTTGGCGCTTTTCTCTACGAAGGGGTTTTTTAGCAAAGTTATCTCTTTGTTTTTAGATCTCTTCAAAAATGAGTGCAAGGATCTCCACCCAATTTTAAGTATACCTCCTTTTCACTCTGAACTTTACGGTGTTTTAATTATAATTGGCAAAGATTCAACTTCTTCATCTATTTAACCATGCATGTTGAAGTTTTAGATGAGATTTGTTAAGATTTAAGGATACCGATGTATGCTTTATAGATTAAATTTTTTTTGGGTATATTAATTTCGGCTTGGTGTAGAAAGATTTTAATTGGAAAAATTCTTAGTACTACATAGAGTGAATATTCATGAATTTTACTGCATGGACTATGGGTTACCTAAAGCAAGAGGGTTTTATCTTCGTGATAGTAGTCCCTTAGTCATTCATATTTTGATCGAAGTCATTAATGACAATTTTACATTTT